CTGTCACGGTGGGTCCCTCTGACCTCACTGCCATGATGGGTCCCTCTGACCCCGCTGTCACGGTGGGTCCCTCTGACCCCGCTGCCATGTGGGTCCCACTGACCCCTCTGTCACGGTGGGTCCCTCTGACCCTGCTGTTACGGTGGGTCCCTCTGACCCCACTGCCATGTGGGTCCCTCTGACCCCGCTGCCATGTGGGTCCCTCTGACCCCTCTGTCACGGTGGTGTCATTACAGTGACCTGATGTGCTGTCAGGGTTGGAGTCTGGTTCTCTCTGTCAGTCAAGTGGATATGGCCGCTGGCTCCTTGCTGAGTTAGCACTGATGGATCCAGGAAGAATGGATCCACATTAAAATCAAGTCTAGGGTCTCCCAGTCTCCTGCCCCAACTGTCTACTTGTTTCGTCAGTCAGAGAAACCAAAGGAGGGCTTTGCTTGGGGTCCCTCCCACCAACTGTCACTCACCCCATCATAGTGGCTATATTGAGCCTTCCTCCACTGTGAAGTTGCTTGAGGGTGGCCATCCTGGAATAGGGAGGGTGTTCTTAAATCGAGGGCTGGGACGTCATTCATATGCCCTCCTGTGTGGGACATATAGTCATTCATTCATCCATTCCACAAACATTTCATGAGTGCTTACTCTGTGACTAGCCTAAGTATCTACAGGGTGCTTAAGAAATAATTGTTTGATTATTTAAGTGACTAACTAATGACTTATAGAGTTCTTTTTCTAAATGTGCCTGGCTCAGAGGTGCTGAATTCATACTTTCCTGATTAAGTCCTTATTTCTGGTCCTTTAACCCTGTGTTCAGCATAGCATCTGTGTGCCATGAGTGTGTAGAAGCTGAATAAATGAATGGTCAAATGAAGAAAGATGTGTAAAGGAGAACGGAACTGGGAGCAGCCTTTCTCTACCAAACATGTGTGTGTGTGTGTGTGTGTCTGTCTGTCTGTCTGTCTGTGACTATGGAGGTGTATGTATGAGTGTGTGCAAAATAGAGCATTCTCCTTCTGCAGCTACCCCATCCTGAGTCAGCTTCAATTCAGAACATCCTGCCAGGCACTGTCTGCCCACTCTTGGCCCAGAAATGGAGAGCAGGCTGGACCCCAGCAAGCATGCTGCTCTGGGACTCCCCTTAGGAGCCCCAACATGTTTCTTCAGGACTTAAAGAGTGCTCCCTCCCAAAGGCTGCCAAGCCCGCCAGCCTGAGTTTGATCCCCAGACCTCAAACAGCTGTTGGTGCTGCCGGGTGGAACTCTGGGGAGGATTCCAGCGGCTGCTTCTGCCCCGTTCCTCTCTCTGCCTCCAAGCCTGGACCTGGGAGACGAATGGCCCTCTTGCCTTAGGGTGGAGCTGGGCTGAGGATCAGGAAATCCATGCACCACCTGAGAAAGCAGCTGCCGCCTCGGGGCTTGGCCAAACCTCATTGTGCATCACAGGCCCTGACTTTGGCCCATCTGAGCAAACACCGGGCCAGGCAGAGCAGCTCCCCAGACAGTTCTGGAAGCCCCACCTCTGAGCAGTGTCTGGGCCCCTGAGAACATTCTGACCCACCTCCCTGCTTTGGAAACCTCCTTTAGAGACTTGTATCCGCTTTCCAAACAGCAGCAAAACCAACACAAGGTTCTTCCAGGAATTTTTTTTAAATACTTTTTAAGATTTATTTATTTTATTTATCTGTCCGAGCATTTTGCCTGTGTGTTTGTGCACCTCATGCATGCTTGGTACCTCCAGAGGTCAGAAGAGAATACTGGAACTCTTAGGGTCTAGAGTTACAGACAGCTGTGAGCTGCCATGCAGGTGCTGGGAATTGAACCCAGGTCCTTTGGAAGAACAGCCAGTGCTCTTAACCACTGAGCCATCTCTCTATCAGGAGGTTTTTGTTTTTTGTTTTTTTTTTTTTTGTGTGTGTGTGTGTGTGTGTGTGTGTGTGTGAATATGCCAGACGACAGCATTCCTGGATATCATCCTTAGGAATGCCATTCACCTCCATCATGACAGTGACTCTCACTGACCTGGAGCTCACCTATTATGCTCGCCCAGCTGTCTCTACCTCGCTGGCACTGGATGCCATCCCTCCTGGCATTTGTCCGTGGGTTCTGGGGTTACTGACTAACCTATTATTTCCCTAGCCCTGTTCTGCGAAGTGTATTAAAGCATCTTGGGGGCCAGATAGATGGCTAAGTGGCAAAAGGCACTTCCTGTCCAGCCTGATGATCTGAGTTCGATCCCCAGAACTTCCATGGTGGAAGGAGATCACTAACTTCCATAAACTGTCCTCTGACCTCCATACTCATGCTGTGGCACACAACCTCATAATTCACTTACACACACTCACCCGTATACTTACGCACATATTCACACAATAATTACGTGGTTTTTTAAATTGATTTATCTTTATTTTATGTGCATTGGTGTATGCCTGTATGTCTGTGTGAGGATGTCAGATCTTAGAATTACAGACAGTTGTTAGCTGCCATGTAGGTGCTGGGAATTGAACCCGGGTCCTCTGGTAGAGCAGTTGGTGCTCTTAACCACTGAGCCATCACTCCAGCACTAATTACGTGTTTTTAAAGAATTAAAGCATCTTGGATGACAGAGGCCAGGTACTGTCGGATGAGTAAATTTCATCTGAGCTGGTTTCTGCCTTATCAGCTGATTGTGTGTGTCCCAAAAGAAAGGAATATTTGCCACCTCTCCAGCAGGGGACCAGGTCTTAAAACACTTTCATTCAGTAGGTCGTTTATTCATTCTACAAACATTCATTGAAAAGCAATGGATGCCAAGCACAGGGCTAGGAAAGGATGTGTGAAAACTAGTTCATACCCTTGTAGGGAGGTAGACAGGGATATGGCTGTGACTTAGCACAGTCCATGATAGGACCACAGATGCCTGAGGCAGGAAGGAGCACGACACAAGAGGGCCTGGGAAGGTTTCCAAGGAACAGGGAGCTTAGACCAGAGGGCCCCGAATATCAGTTGATCAGATAGGGACCCCCAACCATTCATTAGTCAGTCACATAGACATTAAGTTCCTGATGGGCCAGAGATTTTTTTGTTGTTCAGTTTTTCAAGACAGTTTCTCTATAGCCTTGGCTCTTCTAGGTAGCCCTGGATGTCCTAGAACTTTCTCTGTAGACCAGGCTGGCCCAAACTCAGAGACCCTCCTGCCTCTGCCTCCCCAGGGCTGGGATTAAAGGCGTGCGCCACCACCGCTTGACTTCTCATGTTGTTTTCAAACCCAAGTCCCCCCACTGTCTGTCTTCTGGGCATTTCCGGCCAAGATTTTGTCAGGCTAGACTTCCTGCAGTTTGCTAAGTAAGAACAATAGGTATTATTTTCCCAATGTGAAGTTATGCCATAATAGTGAATAGCCCTTTTCAAACACACACACACCTTCCCTTTCCCCTCATGAAGTTCTGGCCTTCCCCGTGGCCGGGAACTGGGATGTGCCACTCTGATTCCGATGATCTGAGTGTTACTGTTAGTGACACTGTCACCCCTGCCACAGAGAAGCTCCCCGTGGGCTGTGACTCAGGGGTAGAGCACTTGCCTAGCATGTGCTAGGAAGGCCCTGGCTCCATTCCCAGCACTTAGAGATTCTTCTCAACTCAGATCCAATAGCACAATAATTGTGTTTTGTTTTTTGTTTTTGTTTTGAGACAGGGTCTCATTCGCCTCAGGCTGGCTTCCTGTAGCTCTTTGTAGCTGGGGATGACTTTGAACTTCTGATCCTCCTGCCTCTACCTCCCAAATGTTAGGATTACAGGCCTGGGCCACCACGCTCTGTTTTCTTTGGCACTTGGGACTGAACCCAGGGTTTTACTAACTGAGCTACATTCTTTGCCCTAATTGTGTGTGTATGTTTGTGTGTGTGCATTTGTGTATACATACATGTGTGCATATGTATGGTGTATGAACACACATGTGTATGGCTATGCACATTGTAGGCTATGCACATTGTATAATATTCTCTTAGAGAGAGAGAGAGAACTTAGAAGACATTCATTGTTAATTGTATTAAAAAGACAAAAGTGTGGATGAGAAAACGAATTTGTTGGCAACAGGATCAGAAGTCTTCATGGAGGAAGGATCACTAAGAGAAAATCGGCTTAGCTCCGAGCTCTTTGAAACCACGGAAGGGAGTTTGCGCAGCTAACAGAGGTTTTATTCTAAGTGCCAGGAGACTCTGAATCTGCTGAGTTCCTCTCCCATCCGAGATCTAGTAACCACCCAGCTAGGTCAGGTGGGGCTTGTGGCCCCTGGGCCCCTGGGCTCCAGGCCACCTGCACTGCTCACCTTTCATTGGTCTCTTGTCCTTGACCCTCAGGAACGCCTCCAGTATGTCTGAGTGAGGCCTGCGTCTCAGTGACCAGCTCCATCCTAAACTCCATGGACCCCACAGTAGACCCCTGCCAGGACTTCTTCAGCTATGCCTGTGGGGGCTGGATCAAGGCCAACCCCGTGCCCGATGGACATTCACGCTGGGGGACCTTCAGCAACCTCTGGGAACACAATCAAGCCATCATCAAGCACCTGTTGGGTAAGAACCAGGGGGACCGACAAAGGATTGAGGAGGGCGATTCCCTCACTCTGTGAGCCCCAGTGAGCTAGTTAATTCTGAGCTTCCATCTCTTCATGGGTGACCCGAGATCAGTAGCACCCACAGTTTGCCACACTAGAGAGCTTGTGTGAGGCTGTTGGCACTGAGCGGGTCCACAGAGCTTCTAGCCGGAGCTCTCAAGGCCCAGCTCAGCTCCTGGCTGGCACTAGCTCTGAGCTCTTTGAAACTGAGTGTGAATGAAAGGAATGGAGGTGAGATGCCCCGGATCAGAGTGTGTGTTTTGATCAATGGTGGTGTCACAGAGGGTGGGGCGTAGAGCTCAGTTGGTCAGGTGCTTGCCTGGCATCCACAAGGTCATGGGTTCAGTCCCCAGCTCACATGAAACCTGGTGCGGTATCCGTACATGTCTGCGATCCCAGTACTCGGGAGGAAGATATCAAAAGTTCAATTAAAGTCAACCTGGGCTTCACGAGACACTGTCCAAAAACAAAACAAAACAAAACAAAAAAACAGGAAAGAAAGTCTGATAACAGCTTATCAGAGATTTGTCACTCCATAGGTAGAGTCACTTGGGCTGCTGGTGATTGAAGGACACTTGACTATTCAAAGTCCCTTTGACGGTGGAGTCTGTGGCCCTTTCCAGCCCCCTCTCTTGTTCCCCTCTGCCCCCTGGGGGGGGGAGGTGCGGTGCTCCCAAAGCTGGGAAAGGGCCAGATAGTGAAACATCTGTTAATTCCTCCGTCAGGAACACAGCTTAGATTCATGAACACTTAACTGTGTCTTGGCAGTTGGTTGGACTTTAAAAGCGAGGTCTCCCTGTGTAGTCCAGACGGGCCTTGGGTTAGAAGCGGGTCTTCCTGTTTTCACCTCCCCAGTGCTGGGGTTACAGATGCGAGCCACCACACCAAGCCTGCCAGGTTTTTAAAGCTCTTCCACATTCTGAGGAGTAGGAGACACAGAAGTAGCTGCTTAAAAGAGGACACGTCCTCTCTAAGCGACGAAAGTCATCTCAGGAGATAGAAAATGACTCCGATTTAACAGCCGGTGTTTTTTAGGCAGCCATGTCCTTCTGACAAGTGGGTTAAGGACACCTTACCTTGCTTTCCTACCCCCAGCCTCAGACCAGGGCTGTTGCTAGGCTACCTACCCAGCCTCTCCCCCACAGTCCCCAGCAGCTCCTCAGTTCATCCCTTTACCCACTGAACTGTCAGGGTTCTCTGGGAGTGGCCTCCAGTCCTGGGCTATGCCTTTCTAGTCACTCTGCCCCTCAGGGTCAAGTTGATGGTCAGGTGTAGCTAGAGTTTTTCTCTCCGGGTCCCGCCAAGTCGTAGCCCACTTATAAAATAAACATACAGATGCTTACATTATTTAAACTGCTCGGCCATTAGCTCAGGCCTACCATTGTCTGGCTCTTACTCTTATACTCAGCCCATTTCTGTTCATTTATATGTCGCCACGTGTTCCGTGGCTTTACCTGCTGCCTCTACATGATGCTCCCTGGACGGCAGGCTGGCGTCTCCTCTCTGCCTTCCTGTTCTCTCAATTCTCCTCTCTGCTAGTCCTGCCTATACTTTCTGCCTGGCTACTGGCCAATCAGTGTTTTATTTATCAATCAATCATCCACAGCACTCTGGATCAGCCCTGTGCAGTAACAACCAATTAAGACCTGGGAAATGGACTGGGGAGATGGCTCAGTGGTTAAGAGCACTGGCTGCTCTTTCAGAGGACCTGAGTTCAATTCCCAGCACCCGAATGGCAGCTCACAATCGTCTGTAACTCCAGTTCCAGGGGACCTGACATCCTCACACAGACATGCATATAGGCAAAACACCAATGCATATAAAATAAAAATAAATAAATCATAAAAAGACCTGGGGAACAGAGGGCCCGATGGTATCACGGCCACACTGCAGAGTTTGGAAGCCCCCTACAGACCAGCTTGGCTGCTTACCCCCTATTCTACGCCTCAGTTCCAAACTCCATAAAACATGGTTCTCAGTGTCACCCAACAGGGAAGGTCACTGTGAGTGTTGACTTGCATGCAGTGGTTCAGAGGGATGAACATGGGGCCTGGGCCCTAAAGTGCTCAGCAAAACACAGTTGCCCTTCTGGTTGCTTTGTGTGAATTCCAAGTAGACTCCTTCCAAGCAAACTGCATGATTGTAGAGGGCACCTCCTAGGCCCTTGGCTCCTCCATAGCATGGACTCTCACATAGATCACCAGTAAGGATGTGGCAAGGGATCAAAGGAAGACAAAGTCCTAGACTACCTTATGGTTCACCCTGATGTGGACCAGTTGTCAGGGAAGGTGGTACTGGGTGTATCTGTAAGGTACCAAGTTTTTACTTTGTTTTTTCCTGATGCATCATCAGAGGTCCAGGCCTGTGTCCCCGCTGCAGATGACACTCAGAAGCAAAAATGGATTTCCCAGGAAATGGTAGAGCTAGGGGTTCAGACCTAGAGCCGTGGGGTCTCAAAGCCTGTGCTGTCTCATTCCTGGCTCTCTGTAAACCACATCCACGTTGGAGAGGCCTGGTTTGGCTTGGGAGTTAGGCCTGTGGCTTGCTTCTCCAGTGGCTACTTGGTTAAGCTCTATAGGCCAGGCAAGCCCTGGGCCCCACATAGCTGAGGTCACCTCCATGTCATACCTGTCAGGAGCCCCGCCACACACACACACACCCAAGGCATGTCCTAGGGTCACCTTCCCCAGCCTCCCTCCTGGAAACTAATCTAGAAATGGCTCTTTAGCTGTGAGATACCTGGGAAAGCCCCAAAGGAGCAGATAGCAGATGCATGAGTGATGTTCCAGGGCCCAGCCAGCTTCAGCTTCCCTAAGACAAAGGATCAGCCGGCAGACCTCAGAAGGAGCCAGGGCTAATAGCTGACAGGCACTGGAACACAAGGGTGCTCCACACCTCCAAGCCTGAGGCGGGCTCTCAGGAAGTAGGAGATAAAATGGGGCTTTTGGAATGTCAGTGAGGACTATGCCGCTGCCCCAACAGCACTTAGGTTTTTTTTTACTCTTTGCTCTTTGGGGCCTGCCACTCAGCTCCCAAATAAATACACGGAGATTTATTCTTTCTTATGAATGCCTGGCCTTAGCTTGACTTATTTCTAGCCAGCTTTTCTTAAAGTATCACATCTACCTTTTGCCTCTGGGCTTTTATCTTTCTCTAGTCTATATACCTTTCTTTACTTCTTACTCCATAGCTGGCTGGGTGGCTGGGTGGCTGGGTGGCTGGCCCCTGGCACTCTCCTTTCCTCCTTTTCTCGATCCTCCCTCTTCTCTCGTTCTTCTTTTTATTCTCTCTGCCTGCCAGCCCCACCTATCCTTTCTCCTGCCTAGCTATTGGTCATTCAGTTCTTTATTAGACCAATCAGGTGTTTTAGACAGGCACAGTAACACAGCTTCACAGAGTTAAACAAATGCAACATAAAAGAATGATGCAACACATCTTTGCATCATTAAACAAATATTCCACAGCATGAAAGAATGTAACACATCTTAAACTAATATTCCACAACATGGCGCAGATGTTAACATGAATGCACAGTGCAGCCTTGAACAAGCCGTGTCTTCTGAACAAGCTGTGCCCTCCCTCCCTTCTTTCCTCCCTCCTTCCCTTCCTTTTCCCTTCCCTCTCTCTGTCCCTCCCTCCCTCCTTCTGTTCCGTCCTTCCTCAGGGTCTCTGGCCCATGCTGGCCTTGAACTCCCTATGAAGTCAAAGATGATTTTCAGCTTCTCCCCCTTCCTGTCTTCACTTCCTAAATTCTGGGATTACTGTCATGGCTTATAGCAGCCTTTAGACTGGGCCTTGACTTTGGCTTTCCAGCTGTGCTTAGCTCATATTATTTCACCATCTAGACAGCCTGCCATGAACCCTTCCAGAACCCTCTCTGTCGTGTGTGTGTGTGTGTGTGTGTGTGTGTGTGTGTGTGTGTGTGTGTGTGTGTGCAGGCCAGAGGTCAACACTAAATATCTTTCTCAGTTGCCCCTCCACATGTTTTTGAAGCAGGGTCTCTCCCTGAAACTAGATCTCACTGTTAGTGCTAGACAGGCTAACCAGTGAGGCCTAGAATTGACATGTCTCCATCCCCCAGTTTTGGGGTTACAGGCCTATGCTGCCACACCCAGCTTCCACATGGGTGCTGGCATTCCAAACTTAGATCCTCATGTTTCCAGGACACTGTGCCATTTCCTAAGCCCATTTAAACTTTCTTAAGCCTATTTCCCTGTTATGTCTTCTACCAAAGGGCCTCCTGGGGCCTGAGCCACACTGATGTGGATGTACCTTTCAGATTTACAGCATCTTATAGGATGAGAACATAAAGCTGGGCATGGTGGTGCATTGCTGTGATCCTGGCATTCTGGAAGCAGAGATGGGAAGGTCAGGAGTTCAAGGTCAGCCTGGGTTATATGAGATGCAGACTCAAAAGCAAAACAAGGATGAATACTTAAACTAGTTAACTCAAGCCTGCTGTAACAATTGAAGCAGCCCGGAGTCCGTAAAGAACAATCCAGGCTAGGGAGGCAGCTGGGGGAGAGTGCTTGTCTGGCTTGCATGAGCTCCAGGGTCCATCCCCGGTACCAGAGCTGGGGGGTTGGGGGCGGGGCATGAGGGGGGCGGAGGGGGAAAGTTATTATTGCCTTTCCTCTCTTACATCCCTGATGCCAGCCGCTCTGAGAACACAGAACATTCCAGTCTCATGAAATGAGGGCATGTTGGTGACTTGGCACGAAGTATATCATCCCATATCATCTCATTTTCATTTTGATTATGCTTTCCCAATATTTACTGTCTCACCCGGCTTCCTCTTCCTGTCCTCCGTTTGCCTTGCCAAGGCTTCCCCTGGTGTGGTGTCTGCAGCAGTCGGCACACTTTCGTTGTGGAACGGCTGTGGTGGATTTGATGATTCAGGCAGGGAGGTGGTTGCAGGGCTTCTCCTGGGTGGGGGTGGAGGGACCGTCTTCTGGCCTG